CTCATCATCCTGGTTGCTCTTCTCTGCACCCTTTCTAGAGTCTCAACCTCTTTTTTACATCTCTTCTTTGTGGCAAACCCTGAGATATTGGAAGACTGCTATCCTGTCCCCACTATCCTTCTTTTCCTTAAACTAGACATGTCTTCTGTCCATCCATGGTTTGCTCAGATGTCTGTCTGTCTGTCTGTCTTTCTTTCTTTCTTTCTTTCTTTCTTTCTTTCTTTCTTTCTTTCTTTCTTTCTTTCTTTCTTTCTTTCTTTCTCTTTCTTTCTTTCTTTCTTTCTTTCTTTCTTTCTTTCTTTCTTTCTTTCTTTCTTTCTTTCTTTCTCATTCTTTCCTTCCTTCTTTCCTTTCTTTCTCTCATCTTTCTCTCTTTCTCTCCCTCTCTCTCTCTTTCTTTCTTTCTTTTTGCTTTGGAGAATAATTTGACCCCTTCCTCCTCTCTGTGGCAGCCCCTCCCTCAAATATTGGAAGATGGTCTCCTGTCTCCCCTGGTCCTTCTCTTCCCTAGACTAGCCAGGCCCAGTTCCTGCAACCATCCATTGTATGTTTTAGCCTCCAGTCCCCTCATCATCCTGGTTGCTCTTCTCTGCACTTTTTCTAGAGTCTCAACATCTTTTTATAGTGTGGTGACCAAAACTGGGTGCAGGACTCTAGGTGTGGTCTTACTAAGGCTTTATAGAGTGGTATTAGTACCTCACTTGATCTCGATTGTATCCCTCTGTTAATGCAACTTAGGATTGCGTTGGCTTTTTTGGTGGCTGCTGCTGCTGCACAACATTGGCTCCTATTTAGCTGGTTGTCCACTAAGACTCCGAGATCCCTCTCCCAGTTCCTGCTATTGAGCCTAGTTTCACCCAGTCTATATGTGTCCTTTGGGTTTTTCTTGCCTAAGTGTAGGACTTTCCTTTTCTCTACATTAAATTTCCTTTTGTTAGATAGGGCCCAGGGTTCGAGTCTGTCCGGATCCCTCTGGATCTTGAGCCCGTCTTCTTGGGTGTTGGCTGTTCCTTCCTGGGTGGCCCATTGGCTCAAGCCAAGCTTCACGCTTCCAGAAAATGGTGGAATCCATCGGCAGTCGTCCTTAATTTTTTTTTCCTTCCTTCCCCGTCGCAGGCACACTGCTGACGACCCCACAACACACTGCCCTGGGGGCGCATCCCGTCTCAGTGCCGACGTACCGGGCGCAAGGGACCCCAACCTACAGCTATATCCCACCTCACTGGTAATCCCATCGGCCAGTCCATGTAAGTATCTGTGGGTCTCGCCCAGGAGCGGTTGGTTGGAGGGAGGCCAGGTCAAGAATGGATGGGGGGGAGGGGGGGTCCAGTGGGGCTCCTCTAAGATTTTTTTTGTCTTCAGGACATAATATCGGCTGAAAATAAAACTCCTCCTTGGTGACAGGAAAGGCGGCCGGCCAGTAAACCGTTAGCTCCATTCGGTTGCCCATCCCCGCAAGGGACGATGGGGGTTGTTAAAAGGAGACGGTGACAGGAAGACCCTCACCCCTTGGGAAGTGGGAAGAAAGAACCACAGAGTTGGGAAGGGACCTCGGAGGTCATCTAGTCCAGCCCTCTGCTCAGGCAGGGAGACCCTAGACCAGCTCGGACCCATGACCGAAGAGATGGCTCTGCAGAAGGATTCAAAATGGAGGTCACAAAATGAGCCACGAGAGTTGGGAAGGAAGATGGAGGGAGGATAGAAGGAAGGGAGGAGAGGGGAGAAGAGAAGGGAAGAAGGAAGGAGAGAGGGAGAAGAGAAGGGAAGAAGGAAGGAGAGAGGGAGAAGAGTTGGGAAGGAAAATGGAGGGAGGATAGAAGGAAGAGGTGGAAAGGAAAGAAGGAGGGAGAAGGAGAAGAGAATGGGTGGAGGAAGGGAAAGGAAGAGGGGAGGGAGGGAGGAAAGAAGAGGGGAAGGAGAGGAAAGAAGGAAGGGGAGAGAGGGAGGGCGGAGAAGAGAGGGAAAGGCAAGAGGGAGGGAGGGAGAAAGGAAGAAGGGAGGGAGAAGAGGGAGGAAGGAAGGAAGGAGGAGAGAGGGAAACGAGAGGAGAGAAGGAAGGAAGGTCCAAGCAATATTTAAGATGAATAGAGCTTTTCGAGATCATGGAAAACGCCTGGATGTCGAAGGAGCGTCTCTTTTATTTTCTTGTGGCTCTTCCACACCAGAGGGGAAAAAAACTGAAAAATTCGGCCGGCTGGGAGAGGGAAATTCGAACTCAGGTCTCAAACTCTGTTCCTTTCTCTCTCTCTCTCTCTCTCTCTCTCCCTCCCTCCCTCCCCCCCTTTGGCAGATCTGGAGTCGAGACATCGGATGCAACCCGGCGTGATGATGGGGCAGCTGCCCCCCAGCCTCTCCCCGCCACCCCCCAACAGGCGTTGCCAGCAAAAGCGAAGCCCAGATTTTAATGTTGAATTTAAGTTTTTATTTTTAATTTTTTTGGGGGGGTGGGGGCAAAGCCACATGCCCCCCTCCCTTCCCGGGTTTCCCAGCACACACCCCCTTTCCCCGTCCCTGCAGCCCACCCCACTCCATTGAACCCTGTTGTTCCTTTTCGCCCCCTCCCATTTCCCTCCGTTGTGCGTCGCCGGGACCTCCCGAGGCCATCTATCCGTTCACAATTCCTGCGGGTTCCTCGGAGGGCGGGGGGGGGGGGGGAAATTCCACCTTTAGGGTTCTGGAGGGGGCTAAAACAGCCCAGGCCTTTCTCACCCACCCACCCCTCCTCCGGGAAGACCTCCCCCACCTTTCCGTTCCTCCGTCATGTTTCCATCATGAAATCCGCCTCTCCTTCCTCCTCTCCCCCATAAAGAGGGAGGGGCTAGCCTTCCCATGAACCATAGGCTGATATAAGGGTGTCCTTTTGGGGGTGGGAAGTCAAAAAAGTCAAAATGGCAGCCAGGGACCTGATGGAGACCCTAACTTAGCGCTGGCTAACCGTTTGGGGCTCCCGTGTCTAAAATTGTGCGCGCGCTGGTTGTGCGCGCGCTCCTGTGGCAGCACCCAAAACGCAATGCCGCCCCCGCCCCCAGCGCATGCGTGCGCAATCCCCCCCCCTCCGCCACCCTCTTAGCTGCACTACCCCCTCGCAGCTGATTTTCGGCTGGTTTGAGGCCTTTTTCGGCCTCCCAGAGGCTTGAAAAAAGCCTCCGCAGGCTTTGCAGGCCAAACAATAGGCCCATTTCGTCACTTCCGGTATTGCGGGAAGTGATAAAATGGGCCTATTATTTGGCCTGCAGAGGCTTTTTTCAAGCCTCTGGGAGGCCGAAAAAGGCCTCAAACCAGCCGAAAATTAGCTGGGAGGCACGCGCATGTCCAGTGAGGTTAATTTCCCTGCGGCTTGCATCCCGGCACAAAGGGCTCCGCGTGCCGCAGGTTTGCCATTATGGCGCTAACACTTTTTTGTTTTGTTTTTTTACCTTTTCTTTTTTTTTTATGCATTGGATTTGTGTCATTTTATTTTTTTTAAAGCAGAGTTTTGTCACTGATGCTCTGGCTGCCATTTTGGAGGAGAACAGGCCTTTTCCCATTCCCCTTCCCCCCCCCCAAATTGGACCTTCTGGAGTTAATACAGGTAGTCCTCGACTTACGACAACCACGGAGTGGTTTGTTAAGCGAATCCCTGCGGGGATTTCCCCCCATGGAGAGCGCTTGTCGGAAGGTCGCAAAAGCGGGAATCGCGTGCCTCCCCTTCAGCCCCCTTCTGGATATAGCAACCGTCATAAGTATGAGTCAGTTTCCCAAGCGGCTGAATTTTAATCCCAGGGGAGGGTGTGACAGTAACTTCCAGCGGTCCCTAAACGAACGGTTGTAAGTCGAGGACTGAGCTGTAAACGAGGAAGCGATGCAGGAGACGTAGAATTTTCCCCCATGTTGGCTTGGGAGAAATTCGGCCCGGAGAACGATAGAACGAGAAGGGTTCGATGGTGGTTTGTTTGGACAAGCCACCTTCCGTCTCTGCCCATCCGATGACAGGTGAACAGAGCTGGAAGGGGTCCTTGTAAGGTCATCCAGCCCAACCCTCCACCCTGCTCAAACAGGAGACCCTACACCAGTTGGGTGGCTAACCTTTTTTGGGCTCCTGTGCCAAAAATTGTGCCTCACGTGCCAATACCCAAAAGGCAATGCGTGGGCCCCCATGCCCCCTTTGCATGCATGCGCAATCCTTAACCCCCCCCCCCGTACTGCGCCTCACAGCAGATTTTCAGCTGCTTTGAGGCCTCTTTTAACCTCCTAGAGGCTTGGAGGAAGGCTTCTGCAGGCCGAAAACTAGGCCCGTTTCGTCACTTCCGGTATTTCCTGAAAAACAGCCTAGTTTTCAGCCTGCAGAAGCCTTCCTCAAGCCTCTAGGAGGCCGAAAAAGGCCTCAAAGCGGCCGAAAATCAGCTGTGAGGCGCGCCCAATGAGCAGTGAGGTAACTTTGCCTACGCCTCGTGTGCCATTGCTGCTACCTGTGGCACGTATGCCATAGGTATGCCATCACGGGTCTAGGCTCTCGTGCTTGAGCTAGCGGGTTGGACTAGATGACATCCAAGGTCCCCCCACCAGCTCTTTTATTCTATAATTCCCGTGTTTGGGGTGGGTGTGCCCATTTTTGCCTGGGCAACGCTAGGGGAATCGCTTGGCCGGACGTCCAGCCAACTGGTCCTCACTCGGAGGCTCCAAGCAGCCGTCTTCTCACCTTGGGACTTCCAGGTGTATATATATATAGCTGTATAAAGTGTATAATCTGAAATTGGGCCAGGAGAGGGGGGTGGAGCCCCTCCCCAACTAACCCGGTCAAGAGTCCTGAGATCTATAGATTTGTGGGGGGGGGCCCTTTACAGGAACAAAAACCTGGCATTATACAGGTAGTCCTTGAGTTACGACCAAAGTGGGCCCCCATCGCTAAGCCATGCGGTCGTTAAAGTGAGCCATGCCTGATTTCACGCCTTTTTTGTGGTTGTAGCAGTCAGGCGAACCCTTGCTGTCATTAAGTGAAGCTCATGGCCATTAAGTGAATCCATCTCTCCCCCCTCCCCACCTATTGAATGCGTGTCGGAAGGTCGCATATGCCGACGGCGTAACCCTGGGACAAACCCATATGCCGACGGCGTAACCCTGGGACAAACCCATATGCCGACGGCGTAACCCTGGGTCGTAAATACAAGTTTTGGTCTGGAACCATAGGGATGCTGTGGTGACCAGCATCAGGAACTGGTTGGAAATCCCATTTTTAAAGCGCCGTCGTAACTTCGAACCGTCAATAAACGAATGGTTGTAATATAGCCTGCATTGGTAGTTGAGAGCCACGTGCATTTGTCCAGATATTTCAGGGTTCCCTCCTACCTGCGCCCCTTCCCCATGAATTAGGAAGTGGCCTTTGCTACCACCACCCCCTATCGCTACACAGGTAGTCCTCAACCTACGTCCATCCTTGAGCCCCAAATTTACGTTGCTAAGTGAGACATCTGTGAACTTTCCTTCATGCCACGGTTGTTAAGTGAATTGCTGCACCTGGAGGAGCAGGTTAACCCTTTGTGTAATGGATGCGTTGAATATTTGTTCCAGGTAGTCCTCGGCTTACGGCCACCGTCATGTCCGTTACTAAGCGAAACATTTCTTTAAATGAAGTTTGCCCCATTTTACGACCTTGTTTGCCTGTTAAGCGAATCACTGCAGTTAACAACATGGTTGTTAAGTGAATCTGGTTTCCCCTTGCTTGTCGGACGGTCGCAAAACGGGATCATGCGAGACCCCGGGATGTTGCGACCCTCATAAATACGAACCCAGTTGCCACGCCTGCAAACTTTTGATCTCGTGACCATGACCGCTGCAGCCGTTGCAAGCGTGATAATGGTCCAGAAGTCCTCTTTTTTTTCCCAGTGCTTTTTGAACGGTCACTAAATGGGACAGTTGTAAGTTGAGGACTACCTGCATTTGTGGAGTTTCTTGCGTTAAAATAATTTGCAGTGTGCCCAGACAGCTGGCTCTTGTGATGGGAAAAGCCCCTTTTGCAGAGGAATCCGCTGAGATATTTTGCTGAAAATTCTTCAGCCCGCCAGAATTAATTGCGTTTAGTCGCATTTTGGGACATTTTTTCCTGGGAAACGAAAAAGTCTTCCATTCTTTTCAACTTTAACCCAGAGTTTTTTTGGGGTGGAGGGGACGCGGACGGGAAACTGGTGTGTTTGAAAAGAGACCCCTCAACCCGAACTTGTGAATAGGACGTGTAAATGCATTAACGATCATGATTTTCGTCGGGGAGATCGCGGAAGGGAAATCTTCCCCCGACAGATTTAAGCCAAGAGTTTGTAACTGTACGATATATTTACTGTAAGATGTAGAACATTCAATAACGATTAAACTATTTCCAAAAAAGAAAGAAGGGGGGAAAAAAAATAAAATGAAACAAGACCCCCAAGATCTTGTCTCTTGATTCCAGCGTCTGCTTTCAAAGAGAACACGGAGATATATACACTGCTCAAAAAAAAATAAAGGGAACACAAAAATAAGACATCCTAGATCTGAATGAGTGAAGTATTCTTATTAAATACGTTGTTCATTACGTAGTTGAATGTGCTGACAACAAAATCACACAAAAATTATCAGTGGAAATCAAATTGAGCAACCCACGGAGGTCTGGATGTGGAGTTACACTCAAAATTAAAGTGGGAAAAAACACTACAGGCTGATCCAACTTTGGTGTAACGTCCTTCAAACAAGTCAAAATGAGGCTCAGTAGTGCGTGTGGCCTCCACGTGCCTCTATGACCTCCCTACAACACCTGGGCACGCTCCTGATGAGGTGGCGGATGGTCTCCTGAGGGATCTCCTCCCACACCTGGACTAAAGCATCCCCCAACTCCTGGACAGTCTGTGGTGCAAGGTGGCGTTGATGGATGGAGCGAGACATGATGTCCCAGATGTGCTCAACTGGATTCAGGTCTGGAGAATGGGCAGGCCAGTCCATAGCATCAATGCTTTCGTCTTGCAGGAACGGCTGACACACTCCAGCCACATGAGGTCTAGTATTGTCGTGCATTAGGAGGAACCCAGGGCCAACCGCACCAGCATATGGTCTCACAAGGGGTCGGAGGATCTCATCTCGGTATCTATTGGCAGTCAGGCTACCTCTGGCGAGCACATGGAGGGCTGTGCGTCCCCCAAAAGAAATGCCACCCCACACCATTACTGACCCACTGCCAAACCGGTCATGCTGGAGGATGTTGCAGGCAGCAGAACATTCTCCACGGTGTCTCCAGACCCTGTCGTGCTGTTACATGTGCTCAGTGTGAACCTGCTTTTATCTGTGAAGAGCACAAGACACCAGTGGCGAATTTGCCAATCTTGGTGTTCTCTGGCAAATGCCAAACGTCCTGCACGGTGTTGGGCTGTAAACACAACCCCTACCTGTGGACGTTGGGCCCACATACTACCCTCATGGAGTCTGT